GACCTCAGGTGATGATCCACCTGCCTCAGCTTTCCAAAGTGTTAGAATTACAGGAGTGAGCCACCACGCTGGGCTGAGTATCTTTTTTTTTGAGACGAAGTCTCACTCTGTTGCCCAGGCTGGAATGCAATGGGGCCAATTTTAACTCACTGCAACTTCTGCCTCCCAGGTTCAAGCGATTCTCCTGCCTCAAACCTCCTAAGTAGCTGGGATTACAGGCGCGTGCCACCATGCCTGGCTAATTTTTGTATTGTTAGTAGAGATGAGGTTTCACCATGTTGGTTAGGCTGGTCTCGAATTCCTGGACTCAGGTGATCCACCTGCCTCGGCCTCCGAAAGTGCTGGGATTACAGGTGTAAGCCACCGTGCCCAGCCCCGAGTATCTTCTTATTCACTGTGTAAGGCATGGATATATACAGCAAATTCAGTTCTCAGCGTGGTCTAGGCAAACTCCCGCCTCTCAGCTTGTAAGTTTCCTAAGGGTTTCCATGAGCCTCCAACCACCAGAAAAATGATGGGTTTTCCTGGTTACTTTTATTCCAAGAACCACTTCTTTCTCAGGGTAGCCATTTGAGACCTTCTGACCAGGCCAAATCTTACTACACATGCTGATGACAGGTTACCAACTTGACATCTGACTCACCTTCCCTTTTTTTTAGACGGAGTTTTGCTCTTTTGCCCAGGCTGGAGTGCAATGGTGTGATCTCGGCTCACTGCAATGTCCACCTCCCGAGTAGCTGGGATTACAGGCTAATTTTTTGTGTTATTAGTAGAGATGGAGTTTCACCATGTTGGTTGACCTCAGCTGATCCACCCGCCTTGGCCTCCCAAAGTGCTGGGATTACAGGCGTGAGCCATGGTGCCTGGCCTGGTCTTCCTTTCAAAAGGTCTGTTGAGGGAGAAAATTGTCTACTTTGGCACATAATTATCTTCCCAGCGGTTGGGCATGGTGGGTCACACCTGTAACCCCAGCACATTGGGAAATGGAGGCGGGAGGATTGCTTGAGGCCAGTTTTTTTCTTTTTGAGACAGAGTCTCGCTGTCGCCCAGGCTGGAGTGCAGTGGCGTGATCTCGGCTCATTGCAAGCTCTGCGTCCCAGGTTCACACCATTCTTCCGTCCCAGCCTCCTGAGTAGCTGGGACTACAGGTGCCCACCACTACGCCCGGCTAATTTTTTATATTTTTAGTCGAGACAGGGTTTCACTGTGTTAGCCAGGATGGTCTCGATCTCCTGACCTCATGATCCACCTGCCTCAGCCTCCCAAAGTGCTGGGATTACAGGCATGAGCCACCACGCCTGGCGTCCCAGCTTATTTTATTTGTAGAGTCAGGGCCCCCCCATATTGCCCAGGCTGGTCTCAAACTCCTTAGGCCTTGGCCTCCCAAAATGCTGGGATTACAGGTATGAGCCACCACAGCAGGACTCATTTTTTTTCTGAGACAGTCTCTCATTCTGTCTCCCAGGCTGGAGTGCAGTGGCATGATCTCGGCTCACTGTGCTTCCTGGGTTCAAGCAATTCTCCTGCCTCAGCCTCCCAAGTAGCTGGGATTACAGAAATGCGCCACCATGACCATATAATTTTTGTATTTTTAGTACAGACGGGGTTTCTCTATGTTGGCCAGGCTGGTCTCAAACTACTAGCCTCAGGTAATCTGCCTGCCTTGGCCTCCCGAAGTGCTGAGATTACCGAGGCCCAACCGAAGTACTGAACTCTAATACCAGATGTCAGGAACCATGCTGGGCACCGGAGAAATTTTTTTTTTTTTTAAAGAGATGGAGCTGGGCGTAGTGTCTCACGCCTGAAATCCTAGCATTTTGGGATGCCGAGGTGGGCAGATTGCCTGAGGTCTGTTTGAAACCAGCCTGGCCAACATGGCAAATCCCTACTCCACTAAAAACACAAAACATTAGCTGGGTGTGGTGGCGCACACCTGTAATCCCAGCTACTCGGGAGGCTGAGACAGGAGAACTGTTTGAACTCAGAAGGCAGAGGATGCAGTGAGCGGAGGTAGTGCTATTGCACTCCAGCCTGGGCAACAAGACCCAAACTCTGTCTCAAAGAAAAAAGTTCAATACTTGGATGAATAAAAGCAGTTAATGACTTGATGTGGTAAGACAACTATCTTGTTAACTAATGGAATAAGGAAGTAGTAGGGATAATGAAAGGATGTTTGATGTTTATTTCCACCTTGTGCTCAGGCCTGAGCCACAAGTACATTAAAACATTGAATGGTATCACCCAGGGAATACGTAACCTAACATACAGGACTGAGATGTGCAAGTGGTGGTGGTGTGGTAATTCACACAGAAGGAAACAGACAGTAAAACAAAAATTGCAGAACACATCAAATGATCAAATCTGACACCTTTAGGATAGGCAAACTTGATTGCTGGGTTAAGAACCCTAGAGGTCAGTTAAGGTGGGCAGTGAAGGGGTTTTCTCAACTTAGATTGTTCTGACATGTACTGTTAGACCTATATATCTTTGCCAGAGCACTGTACATATAACTTCATGAGAAACCAAGTCCCTTAATGGGAAGGGTATCCTTTGACCAGTCTATGGCTTAAATTGTCAGGTTTGGAAAACTCAAGTCTCCATAACCAAAGCTAGGGAGAGGCTCTATATGCTAAAGGCAGAACCTCGTCACTGCAGTTGTCTGGGCCTTAACCCTCTGCAGTAAGACTGACTGCAGCAGCAAGTACCTGGCTTTTTCAGACTCTACATGGGAACTCCACCGTAATTAAAGATGTATAAACTTGATTTACAGATAAAGGCCAATTATGCTTCCTCAAGAACACAAGTGTTCAAAGCTTGCTTGTTATAGAAAATGGGTCGGTACAGTGGCTACACCTGTTAATCTCGGCAGTTTGGGAAGCCAAGGCGGGCATCAGCTAGGTCAGAGTTTGAGACTAGCCTGGGTCAAAATGATAAACCCTGCCGGGCGCGGTGGCTCAAGCCTGTTAATCCCAGCACTTTCGGGAGGCCGAGACTGGCTGCGGATCACGAGGTCAGGAGATAAAGCATCCTGCTAACAGGTGAAACCATCTACTAAAAAATACAAAAAAAAAACTAGCCGGGCGAGGTGGCGGGGCCTGTAGTCCCTGGCCTACTCGGGAGGCTGAGGCAGGAGAATGGCGGAACCGGGAGGCGGAGCTTGCAGTGGGTGAGATCGGCCACAGCATCCCAGCCTGGCCGACAGGGGGATCCGTCTCAAAATAAATAAATAAATAAAAATAAAAATGATGACCTGTATGTACTAAAAATACAAAAAACTGGCTGGGAGGTGGTGGCACACCTGTAATCCCAGCATCTCAGGAAGCCTGAGGCACAAATCATTGAACCCAGGAGCGGAGGCTGCAGGTAGATGGCACCACTGCAGTCCAGGGGAGAAAAAAAATGCATGAACTCAGTGCACATGGTCCAAGCTTCTTATTTCTGGGCTCCTTGCTTCTCCTGCCTTGCCTACCTTTAGAGACAGGGCTCACTGTGAGCCCAGGCTGGAGTACAGTGGTATGATCATAGCTCAAGGGCTCAAGCAATCCTCCATGTCGCCTCCAGATCAGCTAGGACTAGGCATTGCACCAGACAGCATCTTGCTATGTTGCCCAGGCTGATCTTGACTCCTGCCTAAGGTGGTCTTCTGCCTCAGGTAATACATAACAAACAGTGGACCACCATGCCCTGCTGCCTACATTTTCAATATTCTACTCAACAAACATTGAGACTCCTGGGTTGGAGAAAGAAATCTAAATATTATGTAGATTAAGCAAACAAGTGATGTTTCAGAAGTAACCATATAGCTTAAAGCATTACATCAACACTCTAACTCAAACAAGGGACAGCATTGTTACTTGTTTTTATTTCATTCATAAACTTAACTCTGCAATCCAGCTGGCATGGAGAGGAACAAGGAAAACATGGAACCAAAGGGAACTGCAGCGAGAGCACAAAGATTTAGGATACTGCGAGCAAGGGGGAGGGTGCTCTCCTGGCTACAGAAGGAATGGTCTGGTGGTTAAGATAAAACACAGTCAAACTTATTCGAGTTGTTACAGTCAGCAATGGTGATCTTCTTGCTGGTCTGCCATTCCTGGAACCAAAGCGCTCATGGCCTCCACTATTCATGCCTTCTTTCACTTTGCCAAAGCACATGCTTGCCATAACTTGAAAGGGAAGAACAATCACTATGATTGGTGACTACAAACAAGCAGTGTCCATCATGTGTCATGAACCAAGACAGAAGGTAGTTTTTTTTTTTTTTTTACTAAAACCTTTTGTACTGTCATTAAATGTACAATTCCAATTACCATTGAAGGTTACACATATAGAATGAACTGCTCCCCCCCACAAATAACACACAACAAAAAAACCTCAATCAATCGCATGTTATTAATAGTAACATAAAAGTAGCACTTAATTGGCCGGGCACAGTGGCTCACGCCTGTAATCCCAGCACTTTGGGAGGTCAAGTCGGGCAGATCACTTGAGGCCAGGAATTGGAGACCAGCCTGGCCAACATGGTAAACCCCCACTTTACTAATAATACAACAATTAGCTGGGAGTGGTGGTGCATGCCTGTAGTCCCAGCTACTTGGGAGACTGAGGCAGAAGAATCGCGTGAACCCGGGAGGAGGTTGCAGTGAGCTGAGAGGGCACCACTGCACTCCAACCTGGGAGACAGCGAGATCCAGTCTCAAAAAAAAAAAAAAAAAAAAAAAAAAAAAGCACTTAATCGCCTGGGTGCAGTGGCTCATGCCTGAATTCCCAGCACTTTGGGAGGCCAAGGCGGGTGGATCACCTTGTCAGGAGTTCAACACCAGCCTGGCCAACATGGTGAAACCCATCTCTACAAAAATACAAAAAAATCAGCCAGGTGTGGTGGCGCACATCTGTATTCTCAGCTACTCAGGAGGCCAAGGCGGGAAAATCGCTTGAACCCAGGAGGCAGAGGTTGGAGTGAGCCCAGATTGTGCCACTGCACTCCAACATGGGCAACAGAGCGAAACTGCATCTTAAAACAAACAAACAAAAAAAGTCACACTTAACCGCCCAGCTAAGCGCTCAGTTTCTATTATAGTATCTGGCATTCTGTATCACATTGACTATATTTGTAGCTATGTATGCTCTTCTAGTATCTTAGGGATGAAAAAGTCTATGGAAGGAAAACTTGAAGAAAACAACTAGTGTTTGTTCTGTTCCCCCCAGGGCAAATTTTCATTTCGTCAGGTGGTTAGTGTGCCATGTTGTACCCTTACCACTCAGTCTTGGCAGTGCAGATGAAAAACTGGGAACCATTTGTGTTGGGTCCAGCATTTGCCATGGACAAGATGCCAGGACCTGTATGCTTTAGGATGAAGTTCTCATCTTCAAATTTCTCCCCATAGATGGACTTGCCACCAGTGCCATTATGGCGTGTGAAGTCACCACCCTGTCAACATATAGGAAAACTGTCACTTCTGACAACCATAAAGTGTGCCAAATCTGCAAGGCTCAAACTTTAAAACCAAGTTCAAACTGAATAGAAGGGTTAAATAGAACCAAAATGTTAAGAGTAACAGCTCAGATATGTGTATTCTGAAATATTCTGGCTCAATACCAAATGAAGGGAGCAACCCAAATAAAATAAAATTCAGTAAATTTCATACCTGACACATAAACCCTGGAATAATTCTGTGAAAGCAGGAACCCTTATAACCAAATCCTTTCTCTCCAGTGCTCAGAGCACGAAAATTTTCTGTTTAAAAAAAAATTAAAACACATATATACACACATACATTTTTTATATATATATATATATATATTCACATACACAAATTGTCACAATTGGAACACCTTTGTTAAACTTAGAAAATGGACCAACCTGCTGTCTTTGGAACCTTGTCTGCAAACAGCTGTAAGAGAAAATTACAGTTAATTAACATCTGCTTATTTTGTTGCTTAGTACCCATGCTTTTAGGGGTTCTGAGTCAAAAATTCATTTTCTCACTACAATACTTCTTCAGTAATTACTTTAATCCTGAGAACTACTCCTGACAGCCATAAGGCCCTGCAGGCAGTTGGGTTAAGAAACATGAAACCCGAAGACATGCCAAAAATCCAGAACTAGTCATGACTTAAATAGTGAGACTTCTAGAAAGTGTCTCAAACTTTTAGTACATCACACCTACTTCTGAAAAGATATATGGCTTCTTAAATGTCTATCACCACCCCCAACTTGAGCTAGAACCTAAAGGCAAAATTCTAAGGAAGAGCAAGCACTGCTGCATGATCAGGGGTAAATAGCTGTTGTTTTAGCCACTCATAATGAAAATGCTACTACCTCCAATCTGTTAACATAGCTTTATGGATTAGATGAGCAGTCACTTCTTGGTTTCCAGGCCCCTTACCTAGTAGTGGGGTAAAAAATAAAGATTGGTTTCTAGTATATCTGGTTTTGAACCTTTCTTGAATGCATTATGGTTAGAGAGGTAGCTTAAATACCACAAACATTTACAAGCCCTTTCATAAAAACAGCTTGTTTAAAAGTAGCATTTTATAAGCTATTCCAGAGATGTGACTGAATTAACTGTCAGTATCCGTGTACATTTCTCTTACAGCAATGTACTTTTTTTTTTTTTTTGAGACAGTCTCGCTCTGTCGCCAGGCTGGAGTGCAGTGGCTCACTCCAACCTCCGCCTCCCGGGTTCAAGCGATTCTCCTTGCCTCAGCCTCCGGAGTAGCTGGGATTACAGGGAAGCGCCACCACGACCAGATAATTTTTGTATTTTTAATAGAAGTGGGGTTTCACCATGTTGGCCGGGTTGGTTTCGATCTCCTGACCTCGTTATCCGCCCGCCTGGGACTCCCAAAGTGCTGGGATTACAGGTGTGGGCCACCGCGCCTGGCCAACATACTTATTTTTTTAGTTTTTAGGTATTTGTACCTAGAACGTATGGTCTTTTTAAAACATCAGCTTTTCTCAGAGCTTTGTAGTCGGTACATTTAAGTTACTATGGCTTCCCTTTCAGACTTTCGCTAAACCCAAAGCCCTTATTGGCAGTTACCCCTCCATTCTCACCAAGACCTGCAAGTCCTTTCTCACTTCCCTTAAGCTCTCTGGGTAACCTGATGCTCAGTATTAGGTCAGGCCAAGTTTCCACGAAAGCCCTTGTCACTTACCAGCTTTGACTACAGTCATAGGTGGGGTGGGGTGTGGATTAACACGCAGTGTTTCAGTGCCTATTAAGTGCCAGACACTACGGACAGGGTAGGCAACAAGGAAACCGCCCTGTCCTCAGGAAGACTGCATGAGGATCGATCTGGTAGCCTTTTGAGATGTGGTTTAAAGTAATAAAATCACTAATATCCTATTTCGCTACTCCCTAAGGTCTATCCATGTTAACTGGAATGGAATCGCACTCAATATTTAACTTTCAAGACATACGCCAAGTTTAGATATTATGCTGTAATTACAACTGATCTTTAAGAACTCATTTAACGCTCTCAAAACTAATTAGGTAATCACTGGTAATCCACCTTGGTCGGAAGAGGCCTGCCTTGTGGCCAGTCGCTACTCGCCTGGTAGGCAAAGGGACAATCGGGAGGGGCTCAAGAGCGCCTCCCCCGCCAACGCCGTCACTGCAGTAGAAGGCGGTCCTTGGGCACCAGCAAAGGCAAGGCCCATTTTCACATTTCCGCTTGGGGGTGGGGGACACGGGCGGACGCTGGGGCTCATGTATAAATATTCCTACTTTATCTAAATGGAAGATACTTCAAGCGGCAATCCATCACATCCCAGCATTATCTCCTTTTATAGCATGGCCTCCCGGGATCTACAGAAGGACTGAGCATGGACCGACTCACACAGCGCCTCGATCCTTGAGAAAAACCCTCAAGCAAGCAGCTTCCCAGCTCAGGATGTAAAGCACCCGTGCCTGCCGAGGGACAGCTTCCCAGGAAAGCGGTCGTGAGCGCGCCTCTGGCTCCGGTCTGCGACGCCCAGGCCGAGCTAGGGCGGAGCCCAACGGCTCTCAAGGCGCGGGCCTGAGCGCGGCCGCCAAGCACGTGCGTCGGGCAGGACAGGGCGCGGCCACATGGGGCAGGCGGGCGGACGCGGACCCCCTCCCCCAAGAGCCGCGCAGCCGCCCCGCCTGCCTTTGTCCGCCACCGCCCCGGCCTCCTCCCCGCGCCTCGCGGACCTCCCAAAATGGCCCCTAGTCAGGAAATGGCGCCGCCGCCCGCCCGCGCTCGCCCCTCCAGAAGGGTCGCCCCGCGCCCGGGCCTTCGGGGCGCCACCACCCACCCCGACCTCGGCCCGCTTTCTGGGCCCCATTCCCGCACACCACCGCCCGCCCGACCTCGAAGGAGACGCGGCCCAAAGGCTCGCCGTCGACGGCAATGTCGAAGAACACGGTAGGGTTGACCATGGCTAGTAGTACAGGACTTTCCTCGGCGGCAGCGTCTGCAAAGCGGCACGAGCCTGGCCTCCCGCCCCTTTTATACCAGGTTCGGCCCCGCCCGCAGCCCGGTCTCGCGCCTCCGTCCTGGCCAATCGCATCTGCGACTTTGCCAGAGTGACAGTGCAGCTGGCCTATGGACGGAAGTCGGCGCTGGTGGGGAAGACACAGGAGGCGCGCGTGCGCGCTAACGCGCGGAGGCAGGTTCCCGCCCGCGGGCTCCGTCGCGGTGGCTGCGGCATGGGACTCGGGGCGGGGCAGCAGTGCGGGGCGCGGGGCATGGGGGAGGGTCAGTGCGGAACGGGGGTGGGCAGCTTGGCGCGCGCGCACGCGGGAGACGGAAGCGCGGCAGCTCTTCGGCCGTTGTCAAGCGATGAGGCGCGTCTCCCCATTGCACAGAGGGGGTAACTGAGGCGAACGCAGGCCTCAAGGTCGCGCCGCCAGTCAAGGTCGACTGGGGTCCCGCGCCCAGACCCTGCGCCTCCGCGAGCGGAAATGGGGATGACGCGTCCCCGAGACCGAGGAGCAGCCTTGCGTCCGCATTCCGTGCGGGCGACCACCGCGTCGCGTCCGACCAGGCAGTGTCAGGAAGGAGGTTGCCTTTGAGCATCGCTGTTTTCTCTAATGAGGTGGGACAGGAGCAGTCTCCGGTTTTGAGAGATTATGAAATACCTTCAAAATGCCCTACTTTCCTAAAATATCTTACACTCTGCTTGAGTCTTCTTCAGGAGGAAGCCATTAAAACAGGAGCCTGGCAAGGATCTTACCTGTGAAGATGGACTGTGCACGTTTTGCCCTCTTTCTTACTCTTTTCGAATCTCTGCTCCTGGTCCTTCCCCGCCCTCGCCCCGCCCAGCTCCCACCGTCCCCGCCTCGGGACTGAATTGTGCTTTGATTTCTGGGTGAAATATAAGCCACAATTTAAAAGCGAATTTCTTCAGGTAAAGACTTTAATAATACTTTTATTAAAATACACTTGTAGGCCAGGCGCGGTGGCTCATGCCTGGTGCTTTAGGAGGCCAGGAAGCCAAGGCCGGGGAGGATCGCTTCAGCTTAGGAGTTTGACATCAGCCACCAGCCTGGGCATCTTAGACACCGTCTCTACAAAAAATAAAAAAATAAAAATTAGCTGGGCGTGGTGGCGCTCGCTACTCAGGAGGCTGGGCGGGGAGGATTGCTTGAGCCCGGAGGTCGAGGCTGTAGTGGGCAGTGATAGCATCACTGCATTCCAGCCAGAACGACAGAGTGTGACCCTGTCTCAAAAAATAAAATAGGCCGTGCGTGGTAGATCACGCCTGTAATCTCAGCACTTTGGGAGGCCGAGGTGGGAGGATCACCCGAGGTCAGGAGTTCGAGACCAGCCTGCACAACATGGTGAAACCCCATGTCTACTAAAAATACAAAATTAGCCTGGCATGATGGCGCGCAGCTGTAGTCCCAGCTACCCCCTTGGGAGGCTGAGGCAGGAGAATCGCTGGAACCCAGGAGAAGGGAGGTTGCAGTGAGCAAAGATTGCGCCACTGCACTCCAGCCTGGGGGACAGAGACTCCGTCTCAAATAAACAAAAATATAAAATAAAATGCACTTATGTGACTGGTGTTTTGTTCAGAAAACCTTACAAGGAAATTGATATATCCTGGGCTCTCACTTAAGTTGCAATATTAAGGATATTATTTAATGTTTCTTTTTGTTTTTTTGAGACAAGCTCTCACTTTCACCTAGGCTGGAAATGCAGTGGTGTGTTATTGGCTCACTGCAACCTCCCTTCCCTTGCTCAAGCGAGCGTCCCACTTTAGCCTCCTGAGTAGCTGGGACTACGGGCATGTACCCACACCCAGCTCGTTTTGTTTGTGTGTGTATTGTAAAGATGGGGTTTCGCCACATTGCCCAGGCTGGTCTCAAACTCCTGGACTCAAGCGATCCGCTTGCCTCACCTTCCCCAAAGTGCTGGGATTATAGGCGTGAGCTGCTGCACCTGGATGTTATTTAATGTTTCTAAAACTCAGTTTCTTCATCTGCACAACCAGGATAGGGTTGTGGTGAGACAAAAATGAGAATTCATCTGATAGATGAAGTACAGTTTCTGGCCTCTTGCCACTGTTGTTAATAACCGTGAGCCAACGTGTTAGAAATCTATTTATTCGAGATAGGGTCTCACTCTGTTGTTAGTCTGGAGTGCAGTGGTGCAATCCTAGCTCACTGTAACCTCGAACCCTTGGACTCAAGCAATTCTCCCTCCTCAGCCTCCCAAATGTCCGGGACTGAAGGCACAAGCCACTGTGCCAGCTAATTTAAAATTTTTTACAGAAACTGGTTCTGGCTGTGTTGTCAGGACTGGTCTCAAACTCCAGGGCTTAAAGGATTCTCCCACCTTGGCCTCCCAAAATTACGGCATTACAGCTGTGAACCGCCATGCCCAGCCTGTGTTAGAAATTTAGAGTATGTTGTTTCGTTCTCACAACCATCCCATTATCCCCATTTTACAGATGTGTAAAGTAAGGCTCTGGCTTCTTGTTCAGAGTAATTGCTTATGAGTGTTAGCAAACCCAAACTGGAAGCTGCTTTTTTCCCCCCAATTCCACATCATTTGATGCTTTGTGATCTTAAGGAAGCCACCTGTCCTCATCTGACACTGAAAAAAATTGCCCAAGGCCTTCAGGCATAAATTCTTTCAATTTCTCTCTCCTCCATCCTAAAACCTAGAGCAGTTAGGAACTCCTCCTAAGAAGTAAATGAATGAGGCCGGGCGAGGTGGCTCATGCCTGTAATCCCAGCACTTTGGGAGGCAGAGGCGGGTGGGTCATTTGAGGTCAGGAGTTCAAGACCAGCTTGGACAACATAGTGAAACCCCATCTCTACTAAAAATACAAAAATTAGCTGGGCGGGGCTGGGTATGGTGGCTCACGCTGTAATTGCAGCACTTTGGGAGGCTGAGGTAAGTGGGTCACTTGAGGCCAGGAGTTCGAGACTAGCCTGGCCAACACAGGGAAAACCCATCTCTACTAAAAAGTACAAAAATTAGGGCCGGGCACAGTGGCTCACGCCTGTAATCCCAGCACTTTGGGAGACTGAGGCAGGCGGATCACGAGGTCAGGAGTTCAAGACCAGCCTGACCCACGTGGTGAAACCCTGTCTCTACTAAAAATACAAAAATTAGCCGGGCGTGGTGGTGTGCATCTGTAATCCCAGCTACTTGGGAGGCTGAGGAAGGAGAATCGCTTAAGCTTGGGAGGCGGAGGTTGCAGTGAGCCGAGATCGCACCACTGCCATTCCAGCCTGGGGGATGGGGTGAGATTCCATCTCAAAAAAAAAAAAAAAAAAAAAAAGTAAATGAATGCAGGAATGAATAATAAGGTAAATAGGCTGGGTGCAGCCTGTAATGCCAGTGCTTTGGGAGGCCAAGGCAGGAGGATCGGTTGAGTCCAGGAGTTTGACACCAGCCTGGGCAACAGAGGGAAACCCTGCTTCTACAAAAAAATATATATCTTCTTTTATTTTTTATTTTTTGAGACGGAGTTTCGCTCTTGTTGACCAGGCTGGAGTGCAATGGCTTGATCTCGGCTCACCGCAACCTCTGCCTACTGGGTTCAAGCAATTCTCCTGCCTCAGCCTCACAAGTAGCTGGGATTATAGGCATGTGCCATCACTCCCAGCTAATTTTGTATTTTTAGTAGAGACGGGTTTCTCCATGTTGGTCAGGCTGGTCTCAAATTCCCAACCTCAGGTGATCTGCCCACCTCGACCTCCCAGAGGGTGGGGATTACAGGCGTGAGCCACCGTGCCTGGCCTATTTTTTTTTATTTATTTATTTATTTATTTATTTATTTATTTATTTATTTATTGAGACAGAGTGAGTTTTACTCTTGTAGCCCAGGCTGGAGTTCAATGAATGGCACGATCTTGGCTCACTGCAACCTCTACCTCCTGGGTTAAAGCAATTCTTCTGCCTCAGCCTCCCAAGTAGCTGGGATTACAGGCATGCACCACCATGCCTAGCTTATTTTGTGTTTTTAGTAGAGATGGGATTCATCATTTTGGTCAGGCTGGTCTTGAACTCCCGACCTCAGGTGATCCGCCTGCCTCAGCCTCCCAAAGTGCTGGGATTACAGGCATAAGCCACTGTGCCTGGTCAAAACATTTTTAAAAATAAAAATTAGCCAAGCGCAGTGGGGTGATGCACACCTGTAGTCCCAGCTACTCAGGAGGCTGAGACGGGAGGATCACTTGAGCCCAGGAGGTTGAGGCTGCAGTGGGCCGTGATGGTGCCACTACACTCCAGCCCAGGTAGCAGAGCCAGACCCTGTCTCAAAAATAAGTACATCTGGCTGGGTGCAGTGGCTCATACCTGTAATCCCAGAACTTTGGGAGGCCAAGGCGGGTGGATCACTTGAGGTCAGAAGTTCGAGACCAGCCTGGCCAACATGGCGAAACCCCGTCTCTACTAAAAATACAAATATTAGCCCAGTGTGATGGTGGGCTCCTGTAGTCCCAGCTGCTCGGGAGGCTAAGGCAGGGGAATCGCTTGAACCTGGGAAGTGGAGATTGTAGTGAGCCAAAATTGCACCACTGCACTCCAGCCTGGGTGACAGACTGAGACTTCGTCTCAAAATAAATAAATGAATACATCCTTGTGACTTGTCCTCCCTCTTGCTACTATTTGAAGTCCTGCCTTTTTGTCACCATCAACATTGTCACAGCGAAGTCCTAGTTCTTGTCATTTCATCTACACAGGCATAGGGTATATACACTCAAGAATACAAATGTTCATGCTTTGTTTGTAAGTGGGGAGCTGATACTGTAGGGGTTCTTTTTCTGACATTATCTGTTGAACCGGACTGTCTAATTGTGGAAAATATCAGCAGACACAGAACCTCAGGAATGTGGGGCTGTCCATGCCTTATTTGGATGAATCAGACCAAAAGCAAATCCAGCTGAACTCAACAGTGCCCTGATCTGGCTAGCTGGAGGTGTTCTATGCCAGCAAGCAGAACTCTGAAAATCAACTAGCTCCTGATCATATGGCATCTTATAAACAAATGCTTATCTCAAAAATATGCCTGAGCAGGAGAGAAGGTAACCAGAGAAAAAATTAGGGTATTCAAAATTATGAAAACAGACGACTTTGGGTAGTAACTTGTCTTCTCTGTGCCTCTTGCCCAGGGCCTAGCTTAGTGCCTCTGCTCTCTAGGCTGAATGGAAACCGCTTCTGCTGAGACCACCAGTGACCTCTCAGCCCACAAACTCAGGTGCTTTTGGCAGGTCTGACACTGCCTGGATCAGGCAGGTTTTATCACCTCCTTGATTGGAAAGCTTCCTTTCCTTGATGACTTTGACTTTTCTTTCATGTTTCCTTTACGATTTCCGCTTTAACTCTTTCACAAATTTCTGCTCTGTCAGAGTTAAGCATTTGATCTTGTTTCCTCACACAGCCTCCAAGATCAACCTCATTCTTTCCTATGGCTTAAATTCCCAGATGATTCTAAACCAAGTTCTCAGCCAGGCACAGTGGCTCACACCTGTAATCCCAGCACTTTGGGAGGCTG